TACTAGAAAAGAAAATTTGTTATGTTTTAATGTTAGATAAAGAGTTGCTACTGTTATTTTTTTATTGAACCCAAATTTTGTCATTGTAAATGTTTTTTATGAGATCCTTAACGCATAGAAGAGTGACAGCATATATGTATATCGTTCCTATGTCCGATAAAGCACTTTCTAGAGATGATGCTGTTCTACACTTTTTATTGTCAATTTTAGTATGTATATATAACCATTCAATAATACCCTGCACAGTATTCGTTTAGTTTTTATTCCCGATATTGTCCAATACACCATTAAACTCCCAACATTATCCACTTCGCGAAAACGATCAAAAAATGCTCTCCTAAGCATTTTGTTTTAAATAATTCAAACACTTACTTAGAGAGCATTTTTAAAACGATATTTTCATTCCAAATGTTCTTTCTACTGTATATATATCACCAAAAACTGTTCCATTCTAAACAATTCTCTTATATCCGAAATTACCTTCATGAAACAAATTCATTAGATGAAATTTACTAACTCGGGTATCTCCGAAATGGAAACAATTCAGGATTCTCTTTAATTTACTTTGTAGAAGTCTAGGAAATTTAGTCAACCAGTTTGTAAAGTTACAATTAAGATTTCGTTTCATCCCACTCCGATTCAGTTGCCTTGTTATTTAAAAGACAAAATTATTCTCCAACGATAGTTTGTTTTATGGTGGTTGCAAATTAATATTTCTTTGTAATGTATGTAAACTTTTGTAAAAGATCAAAGTTGGTAGTTATACAGATACCATCTTATTTAACACAGTAACTAGTTATTTCTCGTAACACAAAAGCGCGCAAAATAAAAGAATAAAACGCGGCAATTTAGCCACAAAATTATCTCATTCGAACTCTTCTAGATCGAACGGTTTCCTTCCTAGCACCGTTCCGCGCCATTTCCCCATACTCACTTCTTTTAGTCGGTCTTTCAGACACTTAGGACGGCAATGAGTCGCATTACGCGGTCCATTATATCCATTGAGAAACAGAGGACAACTCCGAATCACGGCGAATGCGACACAATGATTCGATTGTGTGTCAATTTGTTTCAAAGGAACTCCGTATGAGTTTATCGTTTTCGCGAAGTTGAGAGTTTAATCGTGTATTGGATAATATCGGGAATAAAAACTGAACGAATACTGTGCAGGGTATTATTGAATTGTTATATATACACACACACCAAAAATGACAATAAGTTCATACATAGAAAGTGTAGAATAGCATCATCTCTAGAAAGTGCTTTATTGGGCTTTGGGACTTTGTGTACCAATCCTCCAGTTTTATGTTGAATAACAACTTGCGTTATGACAGCTTGCGATATGACAGATACCTTTCAACCCTGCTCTTTCAAAGCCCACAACGTCAAAAAACGTCTAAAACATTGAAAAACGTCAAAAACTTTGAAAAACGTAGAAAGACATTCAAAAAACATTAAAAAACTTTCAAAAAACATCAAAAACGTTGGAAAACGTAGAAAGAATTTCGAAAAGCATTAAAAAACTTCCAAAAAACGTCAAAAAAACTCAAAAACGTTGAAAAACTTGGAAAAAAACGTCGAAAAACATCGAAAACAACGTTTTCAAATGCTTTTAAAACGCACTATGATGTTTGATAGATGACATTGTCAATGTCATGTGTCAAGCGTCTCGTTTAAATGTTCTACCTACCTCTGAATTTGAAAATAGTATTTCAACTGTGTTTACATCGCAGTAATTCGTTGGCACGGGGTATCAGTACTCCAGTTTTACATTGAATCACAACTTGCGTTATGACAGATTTTCAACCCTGCTCCTTCAAAGCCCATAACGTCAAAAAACGTCTAAAACATTGAAAAACGTCAAAAAATTCGAAAAGCATTAAAAAACTTCCAAAAAACATCAAAAACATTGAAAAACTTCGAAAGAAACAACGTTTTCGAATGCTTTTAAAGCGCACTATGAAGTTTGATAGATGACGTTGTCAACGTCATGTGTACAGCGTCTCGTTTAAACGTTCTACCTACCTTTGAATTTGAAAATAGTCTTTCAACTCTGTGTTTTCATCGTTGTAATTCATTGGCACAGGGTAAATCTTTAATACCAGTACTCCATATTTACGTTGGATGACAGCTTGCGTTATGATATGTACCTTTCACCCCCAGTTCCTTCGGAGCTCACAACGTCAAAAAACGTCGAAAATGTTGAAAAACGTCGAAAAACGTTAAAAATATTTTAAAAACGTCGAAAACGTTGCAAAACATCGAAAAAAACGTCGAAAAGGCTTTTGAAGCGTACTATGATGTTTGATAGATAACATTGTCAATGTCATGTGTCAAGCGTCTTGTTTAAACGTTCTACCTATCTCTGAATTAGAAAATAGTCTTTCAACTCTGTGTTTATATCGTTGTAAGTCATTGGTACAGGGTAAATCTTTAATATTAGTACTCTATTTTTACGTTAAATGACAGTTTGCGTTATGATAGATAACTTTCACCACTGCTCCTTCGGAGCCAACGTCTAAAATCGTCGAAAATGTCAAAAAACGTCTAAAACATTGAAAAACGTCTAAAACATTGAAAAACGTCAAAAACATTGAAAAACTTTGAAAAAAAATGTCGAAAAACAGTGAAAAATGTTTCAAGTAAGATGTATGTGGAATATCTATGTATCCTCTAAATCAGGAGCGCATATAAGGGGGGGTAATGGGGTAAATACACCTTCTAAGAATTTGTATAAGATAATAATGTAAAATTTTAATTTTTTCATTATTTTCATTGGAAATATATATAAAAAAATGTTTCGAGTAAGATATATGTAGAAAATGTATGTATCTTCTAAACCAGAGGCGCATATATGGGGAGGGTAATAAGGGTAAGTACCCCCTCCAAGAATTTGTATACTTAACTTTTTATAGGTATTAAAATGTACTGTAATCAAAAATAAAGTCTTAAATATTAGCACTACTCCCCAAACAGTATTACTACTCCGACGAAAGGGGGAGGGGGTAGTTGTAAGATGTATTGAAGACACAAGACTTTTTTAAATTTTTTTAGGAGCTAATTTCACAAAGAAAGGATCTAAATTTATAAAAACTTGCACCACTATGTCTTTTAGCGTCCCTGATTACCACTACCCCCTCTTCCAGACTCTGGATGCGCCTCTGTTCTAAACATTTACAAGAGAGATACAATATTTTGTACAAAATAACCGGAAAAAGCCTGTAATAACTAGATAGAAAAATCATGTGTTGTATATATCAAATTTTTTCTTTTAGTGTATGTAAATTGAAAAACAAAACTCGTTGAATATTTTTAGTGTTGAATAAGAATTTTTTGATTTTTCGATTTTTTTTCGATTTTTCGATTTTTTTCCATTTTTCGATTTTTTTTTTCGATTTTTCGATTTTTCGATTTTTTTTTTCTATTTTCGATTTTTCGTTTTTTTTTTTTTTTTATTTTTTAATTTTTTTCGATTTTTTGATTTTTCGATTTTTCGTTTTTATCGATTTTTCGATTTGTCAATGTTTTTCGATTTTTCTATTTTTTTTTTATTTTTCGATTTTTTTCGTTTTTTTTTCGTTTTTTTTTTTTCGATTTTTCGATTTTTTTTCGATTTTTCGATTTTTTTCCATTTTTCGATTTTTTTCCATTTTTCGATTTTTTTTTCGATTTTTTTTTTTTCGATTTTTCTATTTTCGATTTTTTTTTTTTTCGATTTTTCAATTTTTTTCGATTTTTCGTTTTTATCGATTTTTCGATTTGTCAATGTTTTTCGATTTTTCTATTTTTTTTTTATTTTTCGATTTTTTTCGTTTTTTTTTTCGTTTTTTTTTTTTCGATTTTTCGATTTTTTTTCGATTTTTTTTTTCGATTTTTCGATTTTTTTCCATTTTTCGATTTTTTTTCGATTTTTTTTTTCGATTTTTCTATTTTCGATTCTTTTTTTTTTCGATTTTTCAATTTTTTTCGATTTTTCGTTTTTATCGATTTTTCGATTTGTCAATGTTTTTCGATTTTTCTATTTTTTTTTTTTATTTTTCGATTTTATTTTTCGATTTTTTTTTCAATTTTTTTCGTTTTTTTTCGTTTTTTTTCGTTTTTTTTTTTTCGATTTTTCAATTTTTTTTTCGATTTTTTGATTTTTCGATTTTTTGATTTTTCGATTTTCTTCGATTTTTCGATTTTTTTTTCGATTTTTCGATTTTTCGATTTTTTTTTCGATTTTCGATTTTTCGGTTTTTTTTTTTCGATATTTCAATTTTTTTCGATTTTTTTATTTTTTGAATTTTTATTTATTGATTTTTTGATTTTTCGATCTAGAAAATATGGTTATGGAAAGTATCGCCTATCTTTAGTTATCTACCGGAATGTGCCAGAATTACAAAAGCGTGAATTATCATAATTCACTCTAGTGATATATGGGTACCAGATGCTTTTAGTTAGGAGGTAGAATATTGATTCATTATTAAGTGGTCGTGGACAATAGTATATTATGCAACGATCATGTAATGATGGTTATTAATACACGAGCATTAACCGGGATACGAAACGAGCCAAAGGCGAGTTTCGTATGGTTTATGCGAGTGTTTTAATAACCATTACATGAGAGTTGCATACGCTATTTTTTCTACACCCGATAAATAATCAAGACCTATAAATATTCTATTTATATTGGCATTGAACACAATAACAGTAATTACTCGTATTTCTATAAAAAATTCTACAAAATTGTAATTAATGGTATTACCTTGGGTATTGGTATTACCACAGATTTTTGGGGCAAAATATTTTGTACTGCATTTTCTCCTTTCTCCGATATGTGTGGAGGAGTCTTCTATATCGCTGATATCAGACATTTTAATATTATAATTATCGAAGTTTAGCTATCTACGAAAATTTAATACGTTTTGACAACTAAAACAATTACATAGGAATTTAGGACAAACGTCAAACATCATGCTTGATTGAAAAATGGTAGGTTTCTATTGATTAAAAATCTGTATCATAATGAAAAATCTGTATCATAATGGGTATCATTATGAAACGGATTTTGGGCATATAAGTGCATTATTATAATACGGGTGTAGAAAAATATTATTATTGCTACCTACCGTCACAAAACCACCTGTGCATCATACAGTGGCGCAGCCAGGGGGTTTTTAAAACTAATTAAGGTTATTTAAAAGATATAATAATTTTCTTATCTAGTTTAACTTTTTGAATTTCAAAATCATCTGGGTTCGCGTCTGGGTCTAAAACCCCCCTTGCTACGCCACTGGCTTCATAAATCCACCCTTTTTATGGAATATAATCACCAGGAAGAGAAACAATGAAACTTAAAGTGTATTTTTTTATTAATTAAAATTTGTTACATTGTATATTCAAAGTTGATTGTGTATAAGAAGTTGAACCAAAGTAGATCGAATAAAATCAGTAGAAAACTTATTCATACTAAAATCGGTAGTGGTTTTAATATTATTCTCACATTTAACATACTTGTGTATTGAAGCTTTTGTTCTATCTAAATTATTTGTATCAACAGCATTATTATTAACATTATTAAACACAAAATGAACAGAATTGAAACGCGCATCAGTTGCTACTTCAAAGTTTTGCAAAGCTAGTGGTTTATTAACATTTGCATTGTTTATACAAAATTTTTGGACTGGTAAACTTAATTTATAAACATTATCTTTTAAATCTTTAACAATATCGTTAATACTGTAAGAAATTGTTGGTACAATGTACTCATTATATTCTAGGATTGCTACGAAATTAGACCTGCTATGTGTGCGTAGCAAACAGTCGTTTTCAATAATAACACGGGTTATAAATATGTCAATTTTTGGAAAATTCCAAGGTAAAAAAGCTAATTGAACATCAAGCCTATTTGATAAATTAATCATTAATTTCGATAGTCTATAAGGAATATCTTTATTATAGAAAATAAACGAATCTACACCTAAAAGCCTGTGGAAACTAAAAAATTCTACAAACTTTTTTTTACTAAAATTAGAGGGTAAAACGCATATTGTTGTATTTATATTTAAATTTCTACTACCAGTTACATCTGTTAACAATATTTTCTTCATATTAACTTCCTTCTTTACCACCGAAGTAAACGATACAGCAAATGGTGTATTATCAATTATCTCTGCAGAACAGTAATAAAAATGAGGTACTAATGAACTCCCACCGCCGTCTACTATTTTCGAATAACTAAACTTTCCAGAAATGGGCTTTTTCTTATCTTCCAACCAAATATAACAATTTTTAGGCAACTTATTTGAATCTCTAGGTAATGCAATAGCTTTGATTTTCATTTTACCAGTTAAAAAAGCTGAATAAACGTACCCATTATCAGTTTCTTGCCACATCGGTTGCGGGCCCCAATCCTGCTGTCTCAATATAAAATCGGTGGTTTGTAAATCGGAAAAATTGCAAGGCTGTCCAAAGAAATTAAATACTTCCAATACATAATGTAAACGATTGTATTCGTGACGGTAAATTAAAAATAGAACCAAACTGATTATAGAAAATATTAACAATATTAATTGGTGATATTTCTTCATATTGCTTGTTTTATTTCTTAATTACATTGTAGAAATAGAAATAGAAACCTATTAATATAATAAAAATTCGAATTCATTTTATTAAAAAATGTAAGGTTATGTCAAACTGTCAGTGTCGTTTTGTGTCATATAAGCAGTGTTGCCGGTTTAAATTTGACAGTGTAATCTAGAGGAATATGGCGGACAAGTGGTTCCGGTTTCCAATGGCGTACTGTTATAAGAGGATAAAAAAGATTTGATTGCTTATTTGCATTATATAAATCATTTAGAATGTGAAATAGTAAGAAAGGTGTGTGTACCATATTTCTTATAGGGAAAATATGTGACAAAGTCGACTATTTTGGATAACCAGTTATGACTCACCATTCCAAGTCTACTGACATTGAGAAATGGTCAAGTAGTCAGGAGGCTGGGGTATTGTTATTTCGTTTTAAGTACGCAGTTTTCTAGTTCAACTACTAGATGTTAAAAATAACTAAACCTGTTATTTAAAAATAACAGTAACAGTTGTAACTGTTAAATGAAAATAACGCTTTTTCCTATCGTTATTGGCCTGACAAAATCGGTAATGACAGACCTAATCAAAGAACATTACCTTGTAAACTTCAAGGAAAGATGGGATGAAACAAGAAACTGCAGAGTTGCCAGAAAGCTCTTAAGTTATCTTGACAAAACTGCAGCAAACAAATACTTGATTATGGCTAGACAGAATCTGCGCCTAGTCACAAGCATTCTGACTAGTTATTGCCAAGTACGGAAACATTTCTATATCATGGGGCTGTCAGAATTCGCACTCTGCAGAGGGTGCGAACAAGAAGATGAGACCATTGATTGCTGGACGCTTTCATTTATTAAAAATTTTTTTCGGTGAGATCGGCTAACACCGACCGATATAAGAGAAGCACCTCTTGTCAACTACATTAAATTTGTAAGCTGGCTCCTGAGCTAGGAGGTGCCTATCATCTTTGGAGGGTACATAATGGGCCTAATGAGACCTAAGTGTCGTGAGGGTAATCCATCCTCCACACGTTACAGATACACTGATATAGATACAATAAATATTATATTTAGACATAAATACCATTATTTTACTTACATTAGAAGCTTTAAAAGGACATTAAATTGATTTCTTCTTGTGTTTTCTTTAGTTTTACATGTGATTTGTATCCTGTTTTACAATGTGGATCAAAATAAATCTTGCTTTATCTTTTTTGTCACTCATGTTACTTGTATTTAGCTACTTTTTTTACATTATTTTGATTATTTTCACCATTTTTTAAAAAAATCACTTCATTTGAAAATGAACATCAGTGACGTTCGACCTGTCAACTATAGTCAGTTTAGCGTATTTTATAAAAAGAAGTACAGAATATTGCAATTTTATCATTGCCGATCTTAGTCTTCATAATTATGCTATTTTAGACGTTTATATACGTCTATGGACGTCTAAATAACATAATCTATCATAAAAGTTTATGTTGTTTTATGCCACGACAAATACTTTGTTCTAAGAGTATTAGGCATTCCAATTACCTGTCAAACTGCTGTCAGTGGCAATTAACAGTTTAGATGTGGCAACCCTGTGGACTTCCTGTCTTTGACAACATATATAGATTGCTCAGAACGAGTCGTTTGTGAGCAGCTATATTGCCTCATTAAGTTGAATCGGTTTAGCAAAAATGTGTTTTTAAGGACCGATTCCACCGTTGTGTTAAACGAAGTTTAAAATGACATTTTTGCATTAACAATGTCATTTTAATCTCCGTTTAATACAACGGTGGAATCGACCCTAAGTCAATTTCCAGCCTTTAAATTTATTAAGAAAAATAATTGCATTTTTATTTTTACTTCAAGGCATAAGCTTATGTTTATTTTTAAAAACATGAATTATCAATCTATATAACTATCTGTATCATTGACCCTGTCAAATCACTAGACCCACAATGTTGCCATATCATATGTTTGTCACTATCTATGGGCAACTATTTAGTTTGGAATGCCTAATTATAAAAATTTCGATAAATATTTTATATGTCAACATTTTAATAATTTTCAGAACCAATTTTAAACACCATTTAACATCATGATGTACCAACGATGGTTTACTATGGATGTCACTTCCGTTAGGACCATTAGAATCATTGATCTGGCAGCAATGCTGCCGACATGACACATGACATTCATCCTGACACTAATTTTTTAGGTTATGTTTTCTGTGGTTATGTTATTGAGGTTTTCGGATATTCTTTAGGTATATAAATAGTTAATTTTGAATTAGTTTTTCAACAAATATCTGTGGAAAAGTGATTTAGGTTACGAAAAAATAAAAAATGCATTGGTCGTGAGTATTCAATTAAGTGCTATTTAGATTGAAAATGGAAGACGCGCTTATTTTGGAATTTCAACAGTTAAAAGTTTCTGTTCTGAAAAAACTGGAAAAAATTAATGCTACCATAAATAAATCGAATCTGTCCAGCCCTTCAAAAGAAGAATGTAGAAAGAAGGTAAGTGAAGACCTTATAGTTATTCCTAAAACGCCAGATAACAGCCCAGTGCAAGGTTATTTAAAAGCAGTGGAAGCCCAAAGGAAAATTGGCGTTCTTAACAATGTTCAAGCACGTTTAAAAAAGATCGAAGATTTTGCTGTACAACAAGAAGTAAATAAAAACAAACAGTGGTTACAGAAACAGAAAGAATTCGTGAATGATATACAGCAAAAGGAAGACCATATCTTCCAAGCTCTTGAAGAATACGACAAAAGTTCGTTAAATAACCATGCACAACTGGCTTTGTATTATAAAAATTTGGAATTACGCCGCCAGCAGCACGAAAACGAGATAAAAAATCGAGAAAAAGAAAAACAAATACTTTGTGGTTATATAGATAAAATAAAAAAACTACAACATTCATTTAGAAGTTCTTATGAACAAATTTTACTTAATTTAAAGCGATGCACAAAAATAGAGGAATTAAAAACCATGCTGGCAGATGATTTTAAATTATTGAATGCCCTTCGTCCCAATTTTGATGGAATTATTATTAAATGCAAAAATGGAAAGATATCTGAAGAAGATGTAGAAAAAGCATCAGAACTTTTCGCACAGTTACAATTACTAGAGAAAAAGATATGTCAAAGTGTTGTCCAGATTAATAATAAAGAATCTAAAGTAGAAGTTGAAATTGTTAAAGAACCTCCACCTAAACCCGATATAAATGTAAGTAAATATGCCAGTATAGCAAATTTGAAAATATATATAAACCTAATGGAGTTTTTTGATAAATATCTACAAAATTTTAAGAAATTAGAAACTGACACATCTCAAAAACAATTCATTCTCGATTGTAAACGAGCTATTAACATTCCTGTAAACTCTTTATCTGGTGTTAATTCAGAACACATCCTAGATAAATACAATAAATTATACAAACTATTAAAAGGTCAAGATGTTATTATAAGTGATAAAAGAATAAATGCATCCAGTCATCCAGAAGGGATTCCATTTTGCCTGAATCTACTAGCAAAACGATTTATATTACAAAGTGATTTGATTATTTCAAGTAATCCTGAATCAGCATTTTGTTATGCTACTGTTATTATGTCATTGTGGAATGAATTTCCTGAATTTGGTCAGTTGATGTTGGCATATTTTTACAAGACTTGTCCATATTTGGTGCCCTATTATGTTTCAAGACAAGTTGGGGAGTCTGATGAGGAATATTATTCAAGACAGGGTTATCAGTATAATAATGGACAGATTGAGACGCAAGATAAGTTTCTTAAAAGAATGACAGGTAAGTTTTTTTATATATTGTAATTAAAATGTTAAAAAATTATTATTCTATAAAAAAAAAACAAAAATTCACACATAGTTTTTAATACAAATAGTTATTAAAAATAATTTACAAAATTGTTAATATTTTTTTTATTTTTATTGTTATTTTTTTGTTTTTGTTTGTAAATAAATCGTTACATTGCAAGACATCTAAATCTATTTTTTTAAGTCTTTAAAAATGAAATAAAAAAAACAATATTTAGCACAAAAATCCAGATAGGTACAATTTTTACATAGCAGAATCTCTAAATACTTTTATAGGTATTTATTTTGCAATATTGTTTCAGCAATGTAATTATAAGAAATTAAAAAAAAAACTAAATCACAAAAAGCCCAAAAAAATTAAAAAAATTAAGAGGAAGGTCAAAAAGGCCAAACAAGTAACAAAAAACCAAAACAAAAATTTAAAAAAACAATTTTTAGTATATAGAAATTTTCTAATTTTCCACGCAATTTTCTTAATTTTTTCTTTCATAAGAACCTTCTCTTCACAATAACAAACACAACAAAAAAAGAATTAACGAAATCGGTCCAGCCGTTCACGCGTGATGCAGTGATCAAGGGAAATAGGGATTCATTTTTATTTATATAGAAATTTTCTAATTTTCCGCGCAATTTTCTTAATTTTTTCTTTCATAAGAACCTTCTCCTGATAATAACAAACACAACAACAAAAGAATTAGCGAAATCGGTCCAGCCATTCACGCGTGATGCCGTGACTAAGGGAAATAGGGATTCATTTTTATATATATATATAGAAATTTTCTAATTTTCCGCGCAATTTTCTTAATTTTTTCTTTCATAAGAACCTTCTCTTGACAATAACAAACACAACAAAAAAAGAATTAACGAAATCGATCCAGCCGTTCACGCGTGATGCCGTGATCAAGGGAAACAGGGATTCATTTTTATATATATATAGAAATTTTCTAATTTTCCGCGCAATTTTCTTAATTTTTTCTTTCATAAGAACCTTCTCCTGATAATAACAAACACAACAACAAAAGAATTAGCGAAATCGGTCCAGCCGTTCACGCGTGATGCCGTGACTAAGGAAATAGGGATTCATTTTTATTTATCTAGAAATTTTCTAATTTTCCGCTCAATTTTCTTAATTTTTTCTTTCATAAGAACCTTCTCTTGACAATAACAAACACAACAAAAAAAGAATTAACGAAATCGATCCAGCCGTTCACGCGTGATGCCGTGATCAAGGGAAATAGGGTTTCATTTTTATATATATAGAAATTTTCTAATTTTCCGCGCAATTTTTTAAATTTTTTCTTTCATAAGAACCTTCTCTTGACAATAACAAACACAACAAAAAAAGAATTAACGAAATCGATCCAGCCGTTCACGCGTGATGCCGTGATCAAGGGAAACAGGGATTCATTTTTATATATATATAGAAATTTTCTAATTTTCCGCGCAATTTTCTTAATTTTTTCTTTCATAAGAACCTTCTCCTGATAATAACAAACACAACAACAAAAGAATTAGCGAAATCGGTCCAGCCGTTCACGCGTGATGCCGTGACTAAGGAAATAGGGATTCATTTTTATTTATCTAGAAATTTTCTAATTTTCCGCTCAATTTTCTTAATTTTTTCTTTCATAAGAACCTTCTCTTGACAATAACAAACACAACAAAAAAAGAATTAACGAAATCGATCCAGCCGTTCACGCGTGATGCCGTGATCAAGGGAAATAGGGTTTCATTTTTATATATATAGAAATTTTCTAATTTTCCGCGCAATTTTTTAAATTTTTTCTTTCATAAGAACCTTCTCTTGACAATAACAAACACAACAAAAAAAGAATTAACGAAATCGATCCAGCCGTTCACGCGTGATGCCGTGATCAAGGGAAACAGGGATTCATTTTTATATATATATAGAAATTTTCTAATTTTCCGCGCAATTTTCTTAATTTTTTCTTTCATAAGAACCTTCTCCTGATAATAACAAACACAACAACAAAAGAATTAGCGAAATCGGTCCAGCCGTTCACGCGTGATGCCGTGACTAAGGAAATAGGGATTCATTTTTATTTATATAGAAATTTTCTAATTTTCCGCTCAATTTTCTTAATTTTTTCTTTCATAAGAACCTTCTCTTGACAATAACAAACACAACAAAAAAAGAATTAACGAAATCGATCCAGCCGTTCACGCGTGATGCCGTGATCAAGGGAAATAGGGTTTCATTTTTATATATATAGAAATTTTCTAATTTTCCGCGCAATTTTTTAAATTTTTTCTTTCATAAGAACCTTCTCTTGACAATAACAAACACAACAAAAAAAGAATTAACGAAATCGGTCCAGCCGTTCACGCGTAATGCCGCGACTAAGGGAAATAGGGATTCATTTTTATATATATAGAAATTTTCTAATTTTCCGCGCAATTTTCTTAATTTTTTCTTTCATAAGAACCTTCTCCTGATAATAACAAACACAACAACAAAAGAATTAGCGAAATCGGTCCAGCCGTTCACGCGTGATGCCGTGATCAAAGGAAATAGAAATTCATTTTTATATATATAGAAATTTTCTAATTTTCCGCGTTATTTTCTTAATTTTTTTTTTTCATAAGAACCTTCTCTTGACAATAACAAACACAACAAAAAAAGAATTAACGAAATCGGTCCAGCCGTTCACGCGTGATGCCGTGATCAAGGGAAATAGGGTTTCATTTTTATATATATAGAAATTTTCTAATTTTCCGCGCAATTTTTTAAATTTTTTCTTTCATAAGAACCTTCTCTTGACAATAACAAACACAACAAAAAAAGAATTAACGAAATCGATCCAGCCGTTCACGCGTGATGCCGTGATCAAGGGAAACAGGGATTCATTTTTATATATATATAGAAATTTTCTAATTTTCCGCGCAATTTTCTTAATTTTTTCTTTCATAAGAACCTTCTCCTGATAATAACAAACACAACAACAAAAGAATTAGCGAAATCGGTCCAGCCGTTCACGCGTGATGCCGTGACTAAGGAAATAGGGATTCATTTTTATTTATATAGAAATTTTCTAATTTTCCGCTCAATTTTCTTAATTTTTTCTTTCATAAGAACCTTCTCTTGACAATAACAAACACAACAAAAAAAGAATTAACGAAATCGATCCAGCCGTTCACGCGTGATGCCGTGATCAAGGGAAATAGGGTTTCATTTTTATATATATAGAAATTTTCTAATTTTCCGCGCAATTTTTTAAATTTTTTCTTTCATAAGAACCTTCTCTTGACAATAACAAACACAACAAAAAAAGAATTAACGAAATCGGTCCAGCCGTTCACGCGTAATGCCGCGACTAAGGGAAATAGGGATTCATTTTTATATATATAGAAATTTTCTAATTTTCCGCGCAATTTTCTTAATTTTTTCTTTCATAAGAACCTTCTCCTGATAATAACAAACACAACAACAAAAGAATTAGCGAAATCGGTCCAGCCGTTCACGCGTGATGCCGTGATCAAAGGAAATAGAAATTCATTTTTATATATATAGAAATTTTCTAATTTTCCGCGTTATTTTCTTAATTTTTTTTTTCATAAGAACCTTCTCTTGACAATAACAAACACAACAAAAAAAGAATTAACGAAATCGGTCCAGCCGTTCACACGTGATGCCGTGACAAAGGAAAATAGGGATTCATTTTTATTTATATAGAAATTTTCTAATTTTCCGCGAAATTTTTTTATTTTTTTCTTTCATAAGAACCTTCTACTGACAATAACAAACACAACAACAAAAGAATTAGCGAAATCGGTCCAGCCGTTCACGCGTGATGCCGTGATCAAGGCAAATAGGGATTCATTTTTATATATATATAGAAATTTTCTAATTTTCCGCGCAATTTTCTTAATTTTTTCTTTCATAAGAACCTTCTCCTGATAATAACAAACACAACAACAAAAGAATTAGCGAAATCGGTCCAGCCGTTCACGCGTGATGCCGTGACTAAGGAAATAGGGATTCATTTTTATTTATATAGAAATTTTCTAATTTTCCGCTCAATTTTCTTAATTTTTTCTTTCATAAGAACCTTCTCTTGACAATAACAAACACAACAAAAAAAGAATTAACGAAATCGATCCAGCCGTTCACGCGTGATGCCGTGACTAAGGGAATAGGGATTCATTTTTATATATATAGAAATTTTCTAATTTTCCGCGCAATTTTCTTAATTTTTTCTTTCATAAGAACCTTCTCCTGATAATAACAAATACAACAACAAAAGAATTAGCGAAATCGGTCCAGCCGTTCACGCGTGATGCCGTGACTAAGGGAATAGGGATTCATTTTTATTTATATAGAAATTTTCTAATTTTCCGCGCAATTTTTTAAATTTTTTCTTTCATAAGAACCTTCTCTTGACAATAACAAACACAACAAAAATAGAATTAACGAAATCGGTCCAGCCGTTCACGCGTGATGCAGTGATCAAGGGAAATAGGGATTCATTTTTATTTATATAGAAATTTTCTAATTTTCCGCGCAATTTTCTTAATTTTTTCTTTCATAAGAACCTTCTCTTGACAATAACAAACACAACAAAAAAAGAATTAACGAAATCGGTCCAGCCGTTCACGCGTGATGCCGTGACTAAGGGAAATAGGGATTCATTTTTATATATATATAGAAATTTTCTAATTTTCCGCGCAATTTTTTAAATTTTTTCTTTTATAAGAACCTTCTCTTGACAATAACAAACACAACAAAAAAAGAATTAGCGAAATCGGTCCAGCCGTTCACGCAGTATGCACTTACTAACACATTTTGCGATTTATTTTTATATTATAGATTTAAAAAAACTAAAAAACCAAAATTAAAAAAGAAAAGGTCAAAAAAATGTAAGAAAAAGGTCAAAAAGTCCAAAAAAGTAATAAAAACAAAAAAAAAACAATTTTTAGGTCTTTATATTGGTTCCAGCATTAAAATTATAAGAAATTAAAAAAAAAAACTAAAAACAAAAAACTAAACTAAAAAATAAAACTAGAAAAGAGAAGCTATAAAACAAAATTAATAAAACAACTGCAAAAAAAAACTAAAAAAATAAAACTAAAAACAATACAAAAAACAAAAATATAAACAAAACTAAAAAAACAATACAAAAAACAAATAAATAAACAAAACTAAAAAATAAAACAAAACAAAACAAAATTAAAAGAAAACAAAACTAAAAAACTAAAAAAAAAAAGCTAAAAAATTTAAAAAGATTTAAAAACTATTTTTAGTATGAATAACTCAATACATTAGTATAGTTCAAACAATTATAAATCATTAGATAACAATACCTCTAAATACTAAAAACAATACTAAAAATCAATACTAAAAAATAAAACTAGAAAAATAAAACTAAATAAAACGAAGCTAAAAAAAAAACTACAAAACAATACTAAAAACTAAAACTAGAAAAACAAAACTAAAAAACGTAGCTAAAAAAAAAAACTGAAAAACTGAAAAAACGAAACTAAAAAAATAAAACCAAAAGACAATACAAAAAAAAAAAATTAAAAGAAAACAAAACTAAAAGAACTAAAATTTTATGAATGACTGAATATATTAATACAATTTAAAAAATTATAAATCATTACATAGGTCTTTATTCTGCAATATTGTTTCAGAAATTAAGAAAGAAAACAAAATTAAAAAACCAAACTAAAGAACAACTAAAAAATAAAACTAGAAAAAACAAATCTAAAAAAATAAAACTAAAAACAAAATTAAAAGAAAAAGAAAAATTAAAATTTTTTACATTTTGTAAAATTTCTCAAATACGGGCCATTTTAGGAAAATTATGTATGGGATGAGAAATATAGATAATTATATCACAAACAACTTTTATTTAAACAATTTTCTTAAAAATCTGACTTTTTTACATTTTTTCAAATTTCTCGAATACGGACCATTTTAGGAAAATTTTCCATATAACAAAAAATATAGATAATAATATTGTAAGTAACTTTTATTTGAAGAAATTTCTTCTCCAAACGTAAATAACCGATATATTCCAATAAAATATAAAAATGACCACCTATAAAGTACCCTCCCAGACGTTCCGACTCTGCCCAAAATCTAATCAGTTCATTGGACGCTGGAATAAAGTATAAGTTTAAAATTTTGTGTTTTTCTTTGTATCGGTTTATTAGTTATGATGGATACAGACACAAACACACACACACATACAGAGACATCATCGCGAAAATAGTCGAAACGGATTCAGGGGACCCCAAAACGTAAAAATCCTTTCCTTATCTGTATACAGATAAGAAAGTAAAAATTGCAATTGGAATCTTGCGTTAAATGTTAGTTTTTGTTGGTTTAATAGAATTAACATTTATCCGCGAAAACGCTGGACTTTAAAGACCAAAAAACTATATTTACAGGTCTTATTATTTAATAATTTTTTTATTTATTTTATCAGTTATAATGTACTCATTGGTTAGTATAAAAATTGTATTTGTAATCTTAAGTTAAATGTATTTTTTTAGTATCTTTGTTCTCATACTCGTTTGACTTAAAAAATAATAAATTTTCGACTTTAATGCGCAAACTCTAGTACAATACCCATTGGAAAACACAATTTCCAATGCTCGTAAGCAGGGGAATATTTTCCCATACTTCTCATTGGAAAATATTCCACCGCTTATGTCGAGAATACGAAAACTGAATTCCCATGGGAAAATTTTTTTTTCCCATAAAAGTCGAGAATCGACCCCCTGGAGGTGGTATCGATATTTAGAAAGTTAAACTATCAAACCAAAAATCCTTTTCACCTTTTTCTCACTATTGATCCCACCCGAACTCATAATTCGCGCCCCCTCGGTGTTCTTCGCCACGTTCATCGTTATTAAACGATAAATATTAGACGCTTTTAAAATGGTCCAGTTACACAATTCAAACGGTCGTTTTTTATTATTGCCATTCTAGGGGGACAATTTTTGTTTGGATGCGGTTTATTTGAAAACCATTTTGAATTTTTAAAAAAATATATTAAGGATCTGTTATATTTGAGTTCTAAAATATTTGTATAACAATTTTAGTCGAAAATAATGTTTAAAATCGTAATAAATTAAGGTACAAACAATTTTAATTTAATAAAGTTTGTTCCCATCAACTTAGAAAAAAAAAAATAATACAGAATGTCTTTAACGCCTACTAGCTTGCGTTAGTCCGATCAAAATTCCGTTTCCCCTCTCTTTCGAGCGCTTCAGCCCCAGTGGCGCCCATTTCCTAATCGCCGATTATAACAAAAGAACTTTGTTTCTTTTCAGGTGTGATGTGCCTTTATGCAGCCATCATGGTCGTGAAACCGAAAAAAGGCCATACAAACGTCTACAACATCAAAAACGGTTGGAACTGGCTGGCAGCAACTTTGAAATTAGAACCGCAAGTGGATATTACCGCAACTCTAATTCATACCTTCCTGGAGACCGTAGGATTCGAACTCGAAATGTATTATGGGAAAACGTTTCAAAAATTAATCAGAATAATTGCTGAGAAGTTTTTACCTAGTTGCAGAGAAAAATGCACTGGAGGAGCTGTTACAAGGTAAAAAAGAGTTTCAGTTGTAAATATCAATTTAGTTAGTGTGTTTGATATAAAAAGGAAGAACGGAAAGGAGTAGGGTATCCAAATAAACGATTCAGTGTCGCCAAGAGGATAGAAAGCAGGTTGGACCCAAAACCTAAATGAGGAAGGCCACAGGTTGGACGGAAGCCTAATTGGGGGGAAACTGCTCCTCAAGGGGAGCAGAATGGGTGAAAAAATCACATTCAAACATTTCTCTAACTTGTTAGAATCATATATTTAATTCTAACAAGTTAGATACCTAAGTTATCTTTAAATATGATTTTTTATGATTTTTTTCACTCTTTCAGGTACCCCTCTGCTCCCCCTGGGCAGCATATTCCTCCAATTAAGCTTGCGTCCAGCCTGCTTTCTATTCTCTTGGAATTCGCTTGCCGATACTGAATCGCTTATTGCGCCACATTTTGGATGCCCTACTCCTTCCCATTCTTCTTTTTTTCTAGCTCCGATTAATTGGGGCAACACCGCTGGGGATTTGTGATTGATATGTTGAATATTTTTCACAACTTCCATCATTTTGGCTAGATCTTTTAATAATCTAAAAAAAAATCAATTTGGAAGTCCAATAAATCGATTAAATGTACATTATATTATTATCCTTTTTTTTTTTGTGAAAACCCAAAGCAAATCATGATAATTATCAATTAGTTTGTAAGGTTTGTTGTAAGATTAGATGAGTGTCATATTAGCAGTAATTTAATTTCTTTTGATGCAATATCTATTACAAATTGCAGTGGATTCTGTTTCGATGATACTGGATTGGGTTTTCCTCAACTGTTTCTAACCTCTTTAAATTTTCGATAGTGAATTATAGTAAAAACGTTCTCTATTTTTATATTTTCTTTGTTTTTTTTTTTCTCTTTTTTATTTGTTTGTTTTTTCTTTTTTATCCTGTTTTTTGTCTTTTTGTTTGTTTTTTTCTTTTTTTTATTTGTTTTTTATTTTTTTCTCTTTTTTTGTTTGTTTTATCTCTTTTTTGTTGTTTTTCTCTTTTTATGCTTGTTTTCTTTTTTGTTTGTTTTTCTCTTTTTTTGTTTGTTTTTCTTTTTTTTTTGTTTGTTTTTCTTTTTTTTTGTTTGTTTTTTCTTTTTTTGTTTGTTTTTTCTCTTTTTTGTCGTGTTTTTCTCTTTTTATGTTTGTTTTTTCCTTTTTTTTTATTTGTTTTCTTTTTTGTTTGTTTTTCTCTTTTTTTGTTTGTTTTTTCTTTTTTTGTTTGTTTTTTACTTTTTTATTTGTTTTTTCTTTTTTTGTTAGCTTTTTTCTCTTTTTTTTGGTTTCGTTTTTTTTCTTTTTTCGTTTGTTTTTTCTTCTCTTTTTTGTTTGTTTTTTTTTTCTTTTTTATTGTTTGATTTTTCTCTTTTTTGTTTGTTTTTTTTTTCTTTTTTATTGTTTGATTTTTCTCTTTTTTGTTTGTTTTTTCTCTATAGGATTTTCATATCAAATTTGAAGGAATTTTAACAAAAATAAGTTTTTTTTGTTAAATAACTTGACTATCGTTTAAACTAGGTGTGTGTGTCTGTGTGTGCGCGTGCGTGCGTGCGTTTGCGTGCGTCTGTATGTGTTTTATTGATTGAAAGGGATAATTGATTGAAAGGGATGATTGATTGATTGAAAGGATTATTGATTCATTGAAAGGGATGATTGATTGATTGAAAGGGATGATTGATTGATTGAAAGGGATGATTGATTGAAAGGATTGATTGAAAGGGATGTTTGATTGAAAGTGATTATTGATTGATTGAAAGGGATGATTGACTGATTGGAATGATTGACTAATTGAAAGGGATGATTGATTGATAGGGATGAGTGATTGATTGAAAGGGATAATTGATTGATTAAAAGGGATAATTGATTGATTAAAAGGGATAATTGATTGATTAAAAGGGATGATTGATTGATTGGAATGATTGACTAATTGAAAGGGATGATTGATTGACTGAAAGGGATGATTGATTAATTGAAAGGGATGATTGATTGAAAGGGAGATTGATTGTTTGAAAGGATTATTGATTCATTGAAAGGGATGATTGATTGATTGAAAGGGATGATTGATTGAAAGGGTTGATTGATTGAAAGGGATGATTGATTGAAAGGGATTATTGATTGATTGAAAGGGATAATTGATTGATTGAAAGGGATAATTGATTGATTGAAAGGAATTATTGATAGAGAGATGATTGATTGATTGATTGATAGGGAGATGATTGATTGATAGAGAGAAGATTGATTAATTTATAGAGAGATGATAGAAGATTGATGATAGAGAGAGAGAAAGAGACAGATTGATTGATAGGGATGATTGATTGATTGAAAGGAATTATTAATAGAGAGATGATTGATTGATTGATTGATAGGGAGATGATTGATTGATAGAGAGAAGATTGATTAATTTATAGAGAGATGATAGAAGATTGATGATAGAGAGAGATAAAGAGAGAAAGAGACAGATTGATTGATAGGGATGATTGATTGATTGAAAGGGATGATTGATTAATTGAAAGGGATGATTGATTGATTGAAAGGGATGATTGATTAATTGAAAGGGATGATTGATTGATTGATTGAAAGGGAGATTGATTGATTGAAAGGGAGATTGATTGATTGAAAGGATTATTGATTCATTGAAAGGGATGATTGATTGAAAGGGATTATTGATTGATTGAAAGGGATGATTGATTAATTGAAAGGAATGATTGATTAATTGAAAGGAATGATTGATTGATTGATTGATTGAAAGGGATTGATTGATTGATTGATTGAAAGGGATGATTGATAGAGAGATGATTGATAGAGAGATGATTGATTGATTGATTGATAGGGAGATGATTGATTGATAGAGAGAAGATTGATTAATTTATAGAGAGATGATAGAAGATTGATGATAGAGAGAGATAAAGAGAGAAAGTGACAGACACAACAAACACACACACAAACAATATATTTCGACGATGGTATTGGTGAAAGTTAAACGTTTTTTTTTTTTTATTTTATTTTCAGGTTGGAATTGCTGATGACTGAATATTATCGGAATCGGAAGTTCGAGGCGCCTGATGGATATTTAAGTTATTATTACTGGTGATTGATGATATTTATATTATATAAATGAAATTTATTATAAATTGCTTTTAAATATTTTTTTTTTGAATAAATGATTTAAAATTGTAATGACTAATTATTAAAATCATATCTTTTTACCCCCCAGATGTTCCGACTGTGCCAAAATTGTATCATGTTAATGAAAAAGCGAGTAAGTATACAAGGTAGTTAAAACAAAGGGGGAATATTTTTAGAAAGTTGCAGTTTACGACCATTTTAAAGGCAAATTTGGTATCCAGAATAACAGAAGAGGCAGGAAATTTTCTAAAAAAATGATTTTTACGACAATTTTAAAGGTAAATATGGTAGCAATATAGTAGAAGAGCAAGTAAGTATAGAAGTGTTTTGAGGGGATAGATTGAAACTCTATCACAATCTTTTAATAAAAATGATGGGTGAAATTTTGAGTATTATAAAATCAATTTTAAGAGATTTACAGGTTTTTATTAAGTCAGTTCCATAGAAATTATAAAAATAAATATTTTAGAAATATACAGGGATGTGCTATCTTGGGTAAATTGTACAAACCAAGATGGTAAAGTTTAATGGTAAGTTAACCAACTATTGAATACACTGTTCGTTAGCTCAAGGGGGACATCTATACGCTAAGCAATTTATTCTACTAGGTTTGAAACAAAGTATATATGAAATCAACATAGTAAGGTAACCAACTGGCGAATTGGCGCTGTTCGTTACTTCCGCTGGTCATCGCTTCTATACTCGTCGAAATATTTACCTAAGAGGGTGCAACCTGTGTATATCTAAAATAGTTAACCAATTGACGCTGTTAGTTAACTCCCTTGGTCATCAATCTAAATAAAATATATATTGTTATATTTAGAAGATTTTCTATATCCCAGTTCTAAATTAGTTCTGGATCACTTCTGGTTCCGGATCAGTTCTGGATTAGTTCTAGATCGGTTCTGGATCAGTTTTGGTTCCGGATTAGTTCGGGATTGGTTCTGAATCAGTTATGGTTTCGGATCAATTCTGACCCAGATCAGTTCGGACCTGGATCAGTTCTGACCCGAATGAGTTATAACCCGGATGAATTCTGACCCGGATGAGTTCTGACCCGGATCAGTTCTGACCCGGATGAGTTCTGACCTGGATGAGTGAGTTTTGACCCGGATGAGTTCTAACCTGGATCAGTTCCTCAGTTAATAGTGAACGAATTATTCCATAAATTCACAAAAAGGTAGAACAGAATGGATAGTTTATAATGCTCAAAACCGCTGGTTTCTATCTTGAACCGTTTAGCAGTTATTCACATTCAAAAATACGTCGAATTGCGTTACCCTAAATTTTACGATTATTAATTATGGAACCACATTTTTCATATCAAAAAAATCGAAAGGGTATAGCCTTCAAAATTTTTTCACAAAAATTTTTTTTGTCTCCGATTTTGATGAAAATTAGTGTACATATAAAAGAAAGCACGACAAATTAAGGGGTGAACTCAGTTGCTTTCCACCTAAAGGGTTTAATTTTTTTTTCCATTTTCCCCAGTTAATAGTGAACGAATTATTCCATAAATTCACAGAAAGGTAGAGCAGAATGGATAGTTTAAAATGCTCAAAACCGCTGGTTTCTATCTTGAGCCGTTTAGCAGTTATTCACATTCAAAAATACGTCGAATTGCGTTACCCTAAATTTTACGATTACTTGATTATGGAACCACATTTTTCATATCAAAAAAATCGAAAGGGTATAGCCTTCAAAATTTTTTGACAAAAATTTTTTTAGTCTCTGATTTTGATGAAAATTAGTGTACATATAAAAGAAAGCACGACAAATTAAGGTGTGAACTCAGTTGCTCTCTATCTGTAAAGGTTTCAATTATTTTTCCTTTTTCCCCAGTTAATAGTGAACGAATCATTCCATAAATTCACAAAAAGGTAGAGCAAAACGGATAGTTTACAATGCTCAAAACCGCTGGTTTCTATCTTGAACCGTTTAGCATTTATTCACATTGAAAACTACGTCGAATTGCGTTACCCTAAATTTTACGATTATTTGATTATGGAACCACATTTTTCATATCAAAAAAATCGAAAGGGTATAGCCTTCAAAATTTTTTGACAAAAATTTTTTTAGTCTCTGATTTTGATGAAAATTAGTGTACATATAAAAGAAAGCACGACAAATTAAGGTGTGAACTCAGTTGCTCTCTATCTGTAAGGGTTTCAATTATTTTTCCTTTTTCCCCAGTTAATAGTGAACGAATCATTCCATAAATTCACAAAAAGGTAGAGCAAAACGGATAGTTTACAATGCTCAAAACCGCTGGTTTCTATCTTGAACCGTTTAGCAGTTATTCACATTGAAAACTACGTCGAATTGCGTTACCCTAAATTTTACGATTATTTGATTATGGAACCACATTTTTCATATCAAAAAAATCGAAAGGGTATAGCCTTCAAAATTTTTTGACAAAAATTTTTTTAGTCTCTGATTTTGATGAAAATTAGTGTACATATAAAAGAAAGCACGACAAATTAAGGTGTGAACTCAGTTGCTCTCTATCTGTAAGGGTTTCAATTATTTTTCCTTTTTCCCCAGTTAATAGTGAACGAATCATTCCATAAATTCACAAAAAGGTAGAGCAAAACGGATAGTTTACAATGCTCAAAACCGCTGGTTTCTATCTTGAGCCGTTTAGCAGTTATTCACATTCAAAAATACGTCGAATTGCGTTACCCTAAATTTTACGATTACTTGATTATGGAACCACATTTTTCATATCAAAAAAATCGAAAGGGTATAGCCTTCAAAATTTTTTGACAAAAATTTTTTTAGTCTCTGATTTTGATGAAAATTAGTGTACATATAAAAGAAAGCACGACAAATTAAGGTGTGAACTCAGTTGCTCTCTATCTGTAAGGGTTTCAATTATTTTTCCTTTTTCCCCAGTTAATAGTGAACGAATCATTCCATAAATTCACAAAAAGGTAGAGCAAAACGGATAGTTTACAATGCTCAAAACCGCTGGTTTCTATCTTGAACCGTTTAGCAGTTATTCACATTGAAAACTACGTCGAATTGCGTTACCCTAAATTTTACGATTATTTGATTATGGAACCACATTTTTCATATCAAAAAAATCGAAAGGGTATAGACTTCAAAATTTTTTGACAAAAATTTTTTTAGTCTCTGATTTTGATGAAAATTAGTGTACATATAAAAGAAAGCACGACAAATTAAGGTGTGAACTCAGTTGCTCTCTATCTGTAAGGGTTTCAATTATTTTTCCTTTTTCCCCAGTTAATAGTGAACGAATCATTCCATAAATTCTCAAAAAGATAGAGCAAAACGGATAGTTTACAATGCTCAAAACCGCTGGTTTCTATCTTGAACCGTTTAGCAGTTATTCACATTCAAAAATACGTCGAATTGCGTTACCCTAAATTTTACGATTATTAATTATGGAACCACATTTTTCATATCAAAAAAATCGAAAGGGTATAGCCTTCAAAATTTTTTGACAAAAATTTTTTTAGTCTCTGATTTTGATGAAAATTAGTGTACATATAAAAGAAAGCACGACAAATTAAGGTGTGAACTCAGTTGCTCTCTATCTGTAAAGGTTTCAATTATTTTTCCTTTTTCCCCAGTTAATAGTGAACGAATCATTCCATAAATTCACAAAAAGGTAGAGCAAAACGGATAGTTTACAATGCTCAAAACCGCTGGTTTCTATCTTGAACCGTTTAGCATTTATTCACATTGAAAACTACGTCGAATTGCGTTACCCTAAATTTTACGATTATTTGATTATGGAACCACATTTTTCATATCAAAAAAATCGAAAGGGTATAGCCTTCAAAATTTTTTGACAAAAATTTTTTTAGTCTCTGATTTTGATGAAAATTAGTGTACATATAAAAGAAAGCACGACAAATTAAGGTGTGAACTCAGTTGCTCTCTATCTGTAAGGGTTTCAATTATTTTTCCTTTTTCCCCAGTTAATAGTGAACGAATCATTCCATAAATTCACAAAAAGGTAGAGCAAAACGGATAGTTTACAATGCTCAAAACCGCTGGTTTCTATCTTGAACCGTTTAGCAGTTATTCACATTGAAAACTACGTCGAATTGCGTTACCCTAAATTTTACGATTATTTGATTATGGAACCACATTTTTCATATCAAAAAAATCGAAAGGGTATAGCCTTCAAAATTTTTTGACAAAAATTTTTTTAGTCTCTGATTTTGATGAAAATTAGTGTACATATAAAAGAAAGCACGACAAATTAAGGTGTGAACTCAGTTGCTCTCTATCTGTAAGGGTTTCAATTATTTTTCCTTTTTCCCCAGTTAATAGTGAACGAATCATTCCATAAATTCACAAAAAGGTAGAGCAAAACGGATAGTTTACAATGCTCAAAACCGCTGGTTTCTATCTTGAGCCGTTTAGCAGTTATTCACATTCAAAAATACGTCGAATTGCGTTACCCTAAATTTTACGATTACTTGATTATGGAACCACATTTTTCATATCAAAAAAATCGAAAGGGTATAGCCTTCAAAATTTTTTGACAAAAATTTTTTTAGTCTCTGATTTTGATGAAAATTAGTGTACATATAAAAGAAAGCACGACAAATTAAGGTGTGAACTCAGTTGCTCTCTATCTGTAAGGGTTTCAATTATTTTTCCTTTTTCCCCAGTTAATAGTGAACGAATCATTCCATAAATTCACAAAAAGGTAGAGCAAAACGGATAGTTTACAATGCTCAAAACCGCTGGTTTCTATCTTGAACCGTTTAGCAGTTATTCACATTGAAAACTACGTCGAATTGCGTTACCCTAAATTTTACGATTATTTGATTATGGAACCACATTTTTCATATCAAAAAAATCGAAAGGGTATAGACTTCAAAATTTTTTGACAAAAATTTTTTTTGTCTCCGATTTTGATGAAAATTAGTGTACATATAAAAGAAAGCACGACAAATTAAGGTGTGAACTCAGTTGCTCTCTATCTGTAAGGGTTTCAATTATTTTTCCTTTTTCCCCAGTTAATAGTGAACGAATCATTCCATAAATTCTCAAAAAGGTAGAGCAAA